GCAAAGGTGGTATTACAAAGTCACTCCTGGTTGGGAATACTGCTTTAAATCCCAGGAAAGGTCTATAATGAACCAAGTGATTTATAGTCCCTTCATCATCATCTGCACATTTTTTTCCCATTGTTCACATCAACAAATTTATTTTTTACTGTGCTGTTATATGTTAACTTTCAGTTGCAGTAATCTTTACTGGTTAACTTTATAAACATAGAATTCTGAAGTTTTACCTTAGGAACTGTACTCTCATAAATATGCCTTAAGCTAAAAGACATCCCTACTAATTGATATTTTTCCATAGATGAGTGTGTTGTGGGTGGAAGAGTCATGTTACATAGTCTGTTCATTTTGACCCTGTGATATCTGAGCTGTTTTGGCCACAGAGAATCGGTTAGAGGTGGTTTGTAACATGAGGTAAAGGTGGTGTTCTTCACACATGAAGTCAGAATGGGAGGCTATTACAGGAGTACAAGTGTCAAATCTGGATGCTCTGGCCATAACAGAAATCTGGAAATAGATGGTTCTTGGATACCTGAACTGTTTTTATTTTAATGAGCAGGTTTTTCTTAAATGATCTGAATAAATGGGTTTCTAGCAAATCTTATGCAATATGCTTAACTAATGAGTCATTATCATGGAGTAATTTTTTCAACTGAAAAATCAGTGTATCATTTTTTCATCTGTATTTGTGTTCTAGCTTATTTTGAAAGCTTAAGGTTTAAAATCCTTACCATTGGTACTTATACAATTGTGAAACATTTATTTTTTTAATTTTTAGCACAAAAGTTACCTGACTAAAAATGTTATAACATACCAAGCATGGTACATAGCCTATAAATAGATATGAATTAAATATTTCATTCAGTGAATAAAAATACCTTAAGGTTCCTTTTACTGCCACATGTACACATGGGTAATTACATGTACCAGTGTTCATTTACTAAAATCAATGGCTGACAAATTATTGAATTCTAGGTACTCAGGACTTTACATGCATTATCTCATAAATCCTCCCAGCTACACATCTTATAATACTCATGTGGAAATTGAAAGTTCATTGAAGTTACATAATTTAAACAAGGTCACATCTAACAATCTCCAGACATAGTTTTTGAACCCAGATAATGTCTGTTATCAAATGTCTTGCTTACACATGTAATCTATATCTTCATTTCTTCAAGGCCTAGGTTTACAATATTCAATTCCAATGAATTTCTGTTTTTCAAGTGCATACCATGTGCCAGACTTGATTTTTGTTTTCCTTTAATTTTTATTTTGAAATAATCTTAGAATTAAATAACAGTTAAAAATACCGAGCATTCACAAATTTTTGTGTCCAGCTCCCCCTCATTTTAATATTTATAACCATAATATAATTAGCAAATTATAAAAATCAGAAAATTAACATTGGTACAACACTATTCACTAAACTATAGGTCTTATATTAATTTCATCAGTTTCTCCATCAATGTCCTTTTTCTATTCCAAAATCCAACCTAGGATCCCACAACACATTTAGTTGCATCTCCTTAGTGTTCAACCTATGGCAGTTCCTCAGTCTTCCCTTTTCTTTCAGGACCTGGACACTTTAATAGAAATCAGTTATTTTGTATCTGGTCTCTCAGTTCGGGTTTGTGTGATGATATCATAATTCTACTGAGGTTTTGTGTCATTGGAAAGGATATCATAGAGGTGATATGTCTTTCTAGAGCATCATGGGATACATAGATATGCTTTTTTACAGGTGATAGAGTCTCTCCACTGTGAAGTTGTTCTTTTGTCCTTTTTAATTTGTAAATATTTTGGAGAAGATACTTTGAGACTATGCAAATATCTTCCTTCTCCTTAAATTTGAGACTATGCAAATATCTTCTTTCTCCTTAAACTTTCACCTCCTGCTTTTAGCCCTTGGTGCTCATGGTTTTAAGCTTTCTACTTTGAAGTTTCTACAGTACAGCACACCAGTGATTGATTTGTGGGTAACTGACAATGACAAAGGCATTGCCTTCTTACCTTCTACCTTTCAAGTTGATGGCTAGGATTCCTCCCAGTGCTGTGCTTCTGCTTTCGCAGGGAACAATAATAAATAAAATCTGAATTTAATAATTCAATATTTAGCTTAAAAAGAAGCTTTTAAAAAGCCAATCCTCTTTAATTCAAGCATAAAACAGTCTTTATTTTAGAATAATAGAGGCTTGAGTGGATTTGTTAAATTTTTTTTTAACATGAAAAATGATATGCAGAGGATGAACATGGAGTAGTGGACCAAATTTTGGCTTACTAGAACTAAGAAATACATATTAAACATGAAAAAAAATTTGTTTTTAAACTTAGGGCCAGTCTAAGAGAAGAGTACTTTATATATAAGGAGACTACTCAGTCCCCTAAGAGATCATACTGGCTAAAAATATATATCTAAGATAAAATAATTGAAATAAAATAATACATGAATAATGTATATAATAGAATGTCTAAGGAATATGGTTGCATAAACATATTTTTTTAAATGAGTTAAGCTGCTTTCCTCTTAAGTGAACAAAAAGAACCAAGAATAATAGAGAAAATTGTATTCCTCCTGAAACTAAGAAAGGTCCCCAACCGCATACTCCTAGTTCTAGTTAAACTTTCTGACTTGCCCGGTTTAAATTTTAATATTATTTTTAAACAGTGTTATAGTTAAGAACCTACTGATACTGTATTTCTACAGATAGTTTCTCAGAGCTAGATCTAGGTATATGTATGTTTTTAACTTCAATAAGTGTTTCCAGGAGAGGTAATCTCCAATAAGCAGTATGTAGAAACTATGCATGCTACCTCTGGGTTTTCCTTACTTTAGTCTTGATTTAAGTTATATCAACAGAAAGAAATATACCTAGAGTTCATAATTTATTATCCTAATGACTGTTATATATTGAGTTCTTATATACCAGGTACTTGGCTAAAGTGCTTATCTATATTATATCACCAATATTATTTTTGCTGTGGAGAACAAAGGCAAATAAAATAAAAAACCAACCATTAGGGGGTGAGGATTTGATAATATGGTTAACTGGTGAAGCACTGTGCTGTGTATGTTGTGTCTGTTGTATTTGTGATATACATAAGATAGTATATCCATGATAACTACCATTATTTAAAAAATAATACATTTTAATAGTACATTTAAGAATTCTTTGAAATTTTGTTACCAGCTATAATTTTATTTTAAATATTTTTTTTCCTGTAAACTCTATCTAGGTAAATAATCCACATTTTTTGGTTAGTGATAGGAGACTTTTGGTGACAATAGGTTGTAGAAAAAGATGTTTGCCATTGGTTGGCCTTGCCATCAGACAGCCACATGTCCCAGAGCGCTTTAGTGACTGCTTGGTGCCCCATAAACCTGCTCTTTAAGCATTAGTTCCATGTAGCCATCAGTACCAACTGATGAATGCTGATAAAGAAAATGACAAGCTTGGTAAGAATATGGACACACTCGTCGCCGCAGTACTGTCATCTGGGGAGGTGATTGGCGACAATACCAGAATATGAAGAGAAGTTTTTGAATTGTGTATGATTGGAAAACTCATTGAAATGGCTTATTAATGATGTTGTTTGTCAACCTGAGATTATCTTCACTACATGTATCTACCTTATGAGAAAAATCATCTCTATGCCATATGATTGAATCAACATTGAAATGTTAATCCTCCATTATTTTAATTGGTTGATATTTTCGAATGAAAGCAAAGTATTTTTCTTAGGAAATAAATAGTAATTATGCAAGTTGGTTGTAGAGTCCATACAGAAATCTTTTTTATGGTTATACTCTTTAAATGGTGAAAGTTTACTTGTGGGTGATTAGTTCATATATAGGTGAGCAGTGTTTCTCTTTGTTTCTCCCTGTGAATTGTATACTCATTAAGGTGACTGTGAACTTCATGATTTTCTTGTTTAATTGTGGGGTCAGTGTGTAGAGAGCATTTAAATGGCTAAAACCTATTCTAGATTTTTAAAAATTTTTATTGAGACGTAATTGATGTATAACATTATATTAGTTTCAGGGGTATAACATAATGACTCAATATTTGTATGTATTGTGAAATGATCACCACAATAAGTCTAGTTAATATTCCTCACCACACATAGATATAAATTTTTTTTCTTTGTGGTGAGAACTTTTAAATCTACTCTCTTACCAACTTTCAAATATACAAAACAGTATTTGTATTAATAGTCACCATACTGTACATTACATCCCATGATTAATTTATTTTGTTACTGCAAGTTTGTACCTTTTGACCCTCTTCATTTCTATTCTACATTTTTAATATCAATATAAACTATTATAATAAGGCTAATGTAAGATTGTACCCAAAAATAGCTGAGCAAATCAATGAAGATGCTTAAAAGTGGCTGAGTCATTATAAATGGGTCATACTAAAACCATTTTGAGACCATAGTTCAAATTTGACTCTGGTAAAAACTCTAAAATGTCTTTGTCTTTTTTAGGGGGTGGGGCTGTCTGTATTGGGAATTACCAGGTCAGATTCAATGCTTAAGACTTACAAGCATATTGCTATCTAAATATAGAAGGATTACAGTCCATTCAAAGTATAATATTGATTCATTAAGATCGTATGGCTATTTTGTTGTAAGTTATGAAGTGATTAAGGAAGAATAAGTTATTATGTTAATTTTCCTAAGGTTGTGTCAACACACATTTGTGTGAAGCTATATTCACACTGCTATTAATTGGGGTTATTTTTTTGCTACAAGGAAACTCAGTCTATTAGAAGAGGATTTGGTGTACTTAGCATTAAATTTATTCAGTAAGTTTCTATTTTATAATTACATTGTTTTTATTCTATATTTTATATTTGTGAAGAATGTGTATTTCTAAGCTTAGTTCATATTTTAAAAGCTTGCTTAAATGTTTGACTTATTTTAAATATGTTTAATTCTTTTGAATAATTCCACTATTTAATACTGAGTGAAATGTCATATTTTTCGCCCTCTGGTAGGTATGGAGTCTGGAGAACGGTTACCATCCTCAACAGCATCTTCCACCACACCTACTTCATCTTCTATACCGTCTGTGGCTTCATCAGTTTCAAAAGGGGGCCTTTCCACGGGAGCTGCTTCACTGAGCTCTACAATCAACCCATGTGGTAAATGCTCTTTATTAACTCAGTTTTAGAACGCCACCCTTTTACTAATTTGCATTTATACTGATTTACTGAACTCTGAATCAAATGTTCTCATTACTTCTGTTGACCTGTTGAACAATGGCTAGGGTAAACATCTAGTCTCTGCTTTTTCTGGATTTTATCAGCACCCTAGGGTAGCACTAGTTGTGCCATGCTCTTCAAGCTTATTAGAAGCTCTCTTTGAGAGTTCATCTTGATGTCTTATTTGGACCATTTAAATTAACAATGCATGCAAAATCTTTTAAAACAGTATGCTTCAAGGGAGTAAAGACACACAGAGGAGCAAAGGAGTCCTTAGTGGTAAGATTGAAAGTGCCAGTGCTATGGACCCTTTACCCTAAATTTGCTTCCAGTATTTGAAATGACCTTCACCAAACTCCAACTACCCAGTTCATGCATGTATAACAAACAAATCATTTACTTGAAGGAAAATATTTTCAGTTTAGAGCATAGCAAGTTTCTCTTAAACATGAACAAATTTTATATTGCGAAAAAAGAGCTTTATTTCAGAAGTGAAAATACCCTCACTTTTGATTAGTTACATAGAAGGTATTTTTAATCACCCCCCAAAATCACTCTGTGCCCAAACACAGGTTTGTTGAATACATACTTTTTTCTTTAAACACCTAAACTCGATTAATTCATTCCTTTATCACCCGGAAGATTTTGAACCTTAAATTATTTTTCTTACAGATTATTTAATATGTTTATAAGCACTGGAACTAAATGATATTTCAATTTTTTTCAAAATTAAATTTGTAATTTTTTCGGTGAATGAAATGCATAAATATGGAAATGTTTGCTAACAAAATACCCTCACAAATAGTCAAATACATATTCTTCAATTAATGACTTTTTTTCTTATCACTGGAATGACAAGGATGCCATTTTGTCATTGTTTCATCAGAACAATTTTCTAAAATTTTCTTAGTGAATAAAATAAAATAGAGATACATAAATAAAATAAAATCCTTGTTCTCCTGCATCCTGTACAGCCTTGGTTAAGTTATTTAAAGAACCTAATATATACTTCCCTTTTATATAAAGTGATAGCTATATATAAAACAATAAATGCCTTTGATGATTTCTGTGTTCAGAAATAGTGATTCCATGATTGGCACTTGATCTTAAGTTATTTTAAATGATTGAACACAACTTTATTTTGTCTGAGTGATTGCACACAGTTGAAATAATTATTCTTCCCTGCTTTTTATAACTCTTCATCTTTCCTTTGTTATCATCTTCTTTCAGGTATAATCTTCCAATCTGCTGTCTTACTTTGTATTTACTTCTCAATTAGTCTTTAAAGTATCTAGTGTTTTAGAGAAATGTCCTTTTTTTGATGTTGACAGTTTCAGCAGCATGCTTGAACACAGAGCCTTGAGTTTTCTTGACACTTTGCTGCATTCTGTTTATCACTATAAGTTTTCTGAATTAGTGACACTTGAATTGTGAACGATTCTGATTAGTCACATGTTGGGTGCTATATTTTGTTAGGAGTAGTTGGGAGTGCAGAAAGAGTGGGGTATGGGGATTTGCTGAATAACATGAGAAATTTCCTTGTCTAGAAAGGAATTATTTTTTTATCATTTATTTGCCAACTCAAAATGTTGTAGAGTTGCTATGTTGATATGCTTACACTGAATGAAAATCCAGTTTATTTCTATGTTTATTCAGAAATATATCACTTGCTAACACAGTGTACTTTTAGTACCTATAGCACAAGTTATTTCACTTTGTAGGAAATGATTTTTTCATTTTTTAACCTTCACAGTCTTATGGTTTATATTTAAAGTAAACCCTTGTATTAACTTCCAATGTACAGGTTACTTAAGAGAATGCTCAGTTGTCCTGTATAACTTTTACTGTCATGTTTTCCTGTGTTCTCTCCTTTCATTCAATACTTTTGGCCTATTCATTTTCTGATATTTCTTCCCTTTTAAATTAAAATCACAGAGTCGTAATGGGCTTGGCTTCTTTATCTTAAACAGTTGGAATCTCCTCAATCGTTTTGATGTATAGAGACAACAAAACAGACTTTTCATCTTTAAAATGTCAAAACCTCAAAAGTCCTTTAATGGCCCTTTGAGGACATTCTGTTGTCTTAAACAGCCATTTTAATTGGCCTTTTTCTGTCATCTTCATTAAGGTATGTCTATAGGAATTCCTCTGAGTTACAAAGGATATAATTTAAACATGCTTCCAGACTTTGAATGGTCAGATTCTTTTCAATCAACTTTATCAGAATCTGGAATTATACCTACCTAAAAGTTAGCCCGCTCCTGGTACTGTGGATGCTGGCAGGAGACATCATGTATCCTGAGTCAGAGATGTTATTACTTAGAGCATAGCAAAATAGCATGAGCGTCACATCGACATTAGCTCCCTGTGCCCCCCACCCCAAGTCCTGAAGGGCAACACAAGGCCCAGGTGGATCCACCCGTGCAGTGGGTGTTTGTCACAGCTGGGGAACACTGAGCCTGGGGAATCCAGTGCTTTCATAGGAAATGAAAGCAAAACCTCTCTGCCCTGAAGGAGATGTTACTTCATCCTTCATGGTTATTCAGAGCAAATTTAATTCTGAGAAATGGCCTGGTTAAAGAGTGGCCAAGGCCTTGCTTTCTTGGCATATTTAGCAATAGCATGCAGGGGCCTTGGAGGATTGCCTCTCACAACACACCTTTAATTTTATTGCAGTAATTTGGACAGAAATAATACTGCCATAAAGATTGATTCTAGGCTAACTGTACATAGGAGTTTTGTTGGTCTTATAAGAGGGGTAATATTTATTTTTCCTTTAAGGTGTGATTAAAAAAATAATAATTTGCCTCTTCTAAAAAAATAATTTGGGACAGCTTTCAATAAATGTCTTAGTACAATAAACAAAACAACTAAAATATCAAGATAGACTATGAGAAGTAAAAAGGCATTAGCTGAATAAAACCATCAATACTGAACAAAAAAGTTAACAAATAGCTGTTAGAATAAGAAGAAAATATAATGGGTTACATGGCTCATATACTATTGCTAGTAAGCCTGTCACCTCCTCAGAAAAAACAAATAAACACAACTTTTTTCTGGCCCTGAGTGGTATTGGGAATGTGCCACTAGAATCTTTGTATAAAAGGCCGAATGATGCACAATATCCTATATGCCAGTGCCACAGCCACTCAGAATACTGTATATATTGACTCTGAGTGAAAGCTGAGAGAATAACATTTAAGCATAATAGTTCCACAATTAAACTTTACAGATTTGTAGTCATTTGACCTGATACAAAGATGAAACTTTGAGAAATTTCAGGGGTAGTTAAGCTGTACCATAGACAATGTTTTCCATCTGCTTCTGAGATAGAACACTTCCAACAAAATCTTACAAAAATGCTGAATATATAGAACTTCTGTTTATAACTTCTCTGTTTAAACTGTTAACTGTTTAAAACTTGTGTGGTTAAAGCTGGAATATGCCTGCTTTTCTTTTAAAAAATAAAGAGACTAGTTTACATATGTATGTTAATTGCAGGCCACCAGCCTTTACAGAAGTATGCCAACTCATGGTATATTGAGGAAATTGCAAGTAGATCAGTATGGCCTCAATTCAGGGTATATATCAGTTATGACTGATTAACTGTAAATAAGAAAACATGGCAAATAAATACACCAGCTCATAGATAAGCAGTCCTGGAGTGGGTAATGTTCTGGGCACAGACCTGGGCTCCTTGTTGTATATTCTGTCTTCTAAACTATGGGATTTCCATGCTCACGTGTTTATCTCTTGTCTGTGAGAAGGCTGATCCACCTACAGCACTGTTTTCCAGGAAGGAAGGTGATGGGGGAGGGGGTGCAAAAGTTGCTTGCCGGCTTATTTTGACCCCTTTTAAAGAACTTTCCCAGAAACCCCATACAGATTTCCACTTACACCTCTTTCATCAGAATTGTGTGAATGGTATAATCTCAGCTTCAAGGAGGCCAGGAAAAATAGTTTTTAGCTGAGCATATTGCCATTCTGAAGAAAATAGAGGTTAATAGTAAGGAAGGAGAGAGTAGATAGGCAATATCTTGTTATGGATAAGTGGAACAGAGGGACAGGACATTAAGCTGTGTAGTAGGCTAAGGTCAGATCATTTAGAACTTCACGCCATGCCTTAGTAGTTTAGGCAGAATAATGTATTGATTAAAAGCAAAGACTTTGCCATTGCAAGGCCCTGAAATTGAATCTTGGCTTGTCCACTTATTATTAGCTGTGTGAATTTGAGTAAATTGCTTACCCCTTCCTGAGGCTCACTTGCCTCATTTATAAAACAGATGTAACAACAGTCATTTTGCCACATAAAGATAAGTGAGATCATGCCTGCCATATAGCAAGTGCCTAGTAAATTGTAACCATTATTTTTATTCATACTTGATCCAAGTAGATAAGTTTTATTTGATCACACTGCTTTGAGATGATAACTCTAGCAGCATATAGAGCATTGGTTTGCAGTGGGGATGAGACTAGAGGTAAAGAAGATCTTTAGGAGGTGAGAAATCATGAAGGCACAAATCAAGGAGTTATTAGAGAAATGAACAAGGTTTCAGAGATATTTGGGGAGTAGATTCTTATAGGATATAATGACTGATGTAGGGCAAGGTGATATTTAGAAAGAGAGAAACTGACATGATTGAGATAAATGGATGAAGAGTAGTGTAATGAGAAATGTGTACAAGAAATCAGTTTTAAAGGTAAAAGGCCCAGCTTTCTTTTTGCATTTGAATGGAATACACATCCACACTCTGTATCCGCACAACTGTTCGTGGATGCTTGAGTTGTTTCCAACTTTTCCCAATTATAAGCAATGTTAGGACCATTGTGTACATGGATGCTAATGCATATAAGCATACATTTCTGAAGATGTCTTCAACTTTACTAGTAGTGCCAGTTTATTTTCTCACCAGTTGGGTATTAGAATTCCCGATCTTATC